AATAAGTCGTCCAGTTCCGTTGATGTGAACAGGAAGTTCGGTGCCGGAGACATTTCTCCTTGTTCAAATGGCAGTGATCTGCAGTTGGAGTCACCACTTGATTTTCAAGCTGCACTAGATGAGAAGGATTTTATATACAAGAAACTCAAAGAATTAGTTCTTGAGCGTGAATGTTCAGGGGCCCCTACAAATGGACATGCAGAGGAAAGAACCAACGCAGCGTTAGGTAACCCTGTAAATGATGTAAGCATTGGCAAAGCAGCTTTTCGGAAAGCACGGCTTCCTGGAGAAGAGAAGAATGAAGAACGATCCTGTGACTCGGCTGGTTATCCTTCTTTTGTAGTTCAGGTTCTTCATCTTCGCGTAATATGTGCTTCTTTTCATCATGCATGACAGCATTTCTGTGGTACATTTGTTCTATGTGACTCAGCTATCTCTCTTATTGTAGCTTCTTCAAGGAATGGAGGAACTAATAGCTTTTAACGAAGATCAACATAAAAAGATGGGTGGTCTGGAGCAGAAGCTGGTAAAACCTTATCTTTTTGCAATCTCAGTTTTATGGTGACACATCTGTTTCACGCTAAAATCACTTTTTCAGTGGTCTAGGCTAGAGAATTTTCTATATTTTAGACATCTTGGAAGGATGGTAAAAAATATAGCATTTTCCTCTTTCCTTTTGTTTTATGTCTGCTTGGAGAGGAGAGGGTGTTGGAATGAAAACTGCAACAAAATAATTTCTTATGTCAAAAGAATCGATAGGTGATATAAAGGAATTATGCAACACGTTCAGGAGTGTCAGAGACCATTAGTAGGTAGTCATCCAAATTCGAAAAGGAACTTGATATTTTTTCATATTGCATATGGTGTCTGTTCTGTATCTTCATGAATCAAGGATTTTTTCAGCTCCATACATACTTTAATTTATGCTGCGTCTGCAGTAGAAGTAAAAACCAGATAATCATAGTGTTTTTGCCTTTCTTATTCCCTTGTATCCACATGGAATGTAGGCTGATATGCAAGAAGAAATTAAACTGTTAAAAACTAGATGCTTGATGTTGGAGTTCTCAAATCCTTCTCGTACACATGCTGGTGAAAATGTGGTTGAGTCAGATGATGTAGCACATCTGAATGATGAGTCAGTCATCCTAGCTGGAGGATATGATGGTGTATCGTGGTTATCGGCCTTCGACTCATACTCGCCTTTAAATGATGTCTTAAAGTCACTTAAGCCAATGAATTCAGTTCGATCGTTTTTCGCACTTGCAAACCTGAGTAGAGAAATTTATGTATTTGGTGGCAGATGTGGAAGCTTGTGGTCCAACGGAGGTAATGCTAGTAGTCCCTTCCTTCACATACCCTCCTATCCCCACCCCCTTTCTCTTAAGTTGCTGAACTGATGTCACTCTCTTCTTGTGAAGTTGAATCATATAACCCAGCTGATAATAAGTGGACTGTGCACCCTTGTTTGAATGAGAAAAAAGGTAGCTTATCTGGAGCTACTTTAAAGGACAAGATCTTTGCAGTTGGCGGTGGAAATGGAATTGAAAGCTTTTCACAAGTTGAAATGTATGATCCTCAAGTAGGTCGATGGATTTCTACACGATCCATGTGGCAGAAGGTTAATTCTATTCCTTGCTCACTTTGGCAACAGTAAAAGTTAATTGCAATGAGACAGCCAGCTTATGTGCATTACCCTTGGATATTATTCTCATCCTCTTAATTTTTGTAGCAAGTCTTTAGTGTGGTCATTTATCTTCATTTTTCCATGGAAGTTCTTTTGTCTCTACTTTGTTCAATCCTTAAGTAGTATTCAGGTAATATGAAGAAATAAACAAGTGAGGAAACCTTAAAGAGTTGAGGGAAGAAATTACAAAATGAAATGATGTGTTGTTTAGCAATTATTTTACTACAGTGGCCAACTGAATTTGTCTCATTACTAGCTAACTAAAGACAATATGTTGTCTCTTTCTTGTCCTTGCCTACAGTCCAGGCTTCCATTTGCTTATTTTTCTTTTTTTCTTGGACTATGTCTCTTAAGTAGCATCCATTTGTATCTCCATTTTCTTGCTACAAGTGCTAAACTATCTCCTCTGACATGAATGTCTACCATGCATGTACATCTGCAGCGATTTGCTCTTGCAGCAGCAGAACTTAATGGTGCACTATATGCTGTTGGTGGATTTGATGGAAGCAATTATTTGGCGTAAGTTATTGCTGAATTGCTGTTCTTTTCTTTCTTTATAATGTATATGTGCCAAAGAAGCTTGACATTTGGGCGTTATTTCTCCAATCATTGAATTGCAATTCTCTTTGATCTTTCCCTGAGAAAGGAGAGTTGCTTGTTGTTTTCCAACATGTGGTCCTTTTTAGTGCTAACTGCATCAAGATGTTTTAAAAGAAATCTGCAACAGCTCTTTTATTTCATATAAACAGGAGGATTATCTGCATATGTGAAAGTAGTCGAGTCTGTTTTTAGTTTTCTGCTGTGTTCTCTTGTAGCATCTTTCTTATTAGCTATTACCTCAGGACTGCTGAAAGATTTGACCCCAGAGAACATTCTTGGACAAAAATTGAGAGTATGAGCACAAAAAGAGGATCTCATGCGTTGGTTGCTTTGAGGGGAAAGTTGTATGTTGTCCTTTTATTGCTTTTTTGGATTGTATATCTTTGGTACTGTATTATGTCCTCAAGAGTAGAAGTATATTATCTGAAGAGTTACTAGGGGGTTTATTAGGCATTGTCCGCAACCTTTATTTGGGATGAATTTCTTCTTGTTATTCACTTTTAGCGTCATTTCAGATATGCACTTGGTGGCCATGATGGGTATCAAATGGTGCCGAGCATTGAGATATATGATCCCCGTCGTGGAACATGGACGATTGGGGAACCAATGAACTGTTCTAGGGGGTATTCAGCAGCTGCTGTTCTAATGGAGTCCATTTATGTAATTGGAGGGGTTAAATCTGATAATGAAATAGTAGACACGGTACATAATTATTTATTTCATTATTTTTGTTATGCTTTGTTTCCATTATATACAGGTATTGATTTATCCAATGCTCCTTTTTGTGATTGCAGATTGAATGTTATAAGGAGGGTCAAGGTTGGCAAACAACTACCTCGAGGGCTGTTGGGAAAAGGTGCTTTTCCTCTGCTGTAGTTTTGGAGGAATGCTGAACTATGCCCTTCTTAAGTATTCGAGCTGTCTCATCTTGGGCACTCTTTGTTCAAGAAATGTCAATATATGCTGTTTTAGTATAGTGAATATGGTTAATGCTTAGTAGCTAGCATTTATCGAACATTAGAAAGTAACTATTTCCTATTTTACGCGTCTATTAGAGAAGCAGCTTCATTCCTTGACTTATTTTTTCTGTATAGAAAACAGAATGATGAAACTTATTGACAATTATGGTACAGTTTGAAATAGTATTGCTGCAACACAGATAGTTTCCTGCAACTTTTTTCTAAGGCAAAACTTGTGCACAACACTTGAATGTTTTTGCACCATTCAATTTGTTACCTAGCATGAAATCAGGTAGAGCAATGGTTTTTAGGAGAGTTTTGATGATTCAATAATTTGTCATTTCTATCTGCTTATAATCACAGAAACTTAACATAAAGAGTATGTCCAAAATTTTGAAATATTTGTGGCGATGGGGGCTGCTTTATGTGACTAGAGATTGAGAAGAATGCAAAGAAAGGAGAAGATAACATTGGCTGGACTTTAATAGACTTTTCTCAGAGTCAAATTAACAATTAAAGAGAAGAGTTTTACTTGTCGGACTTGCTGTATATGTTAGTGTCTCCTAAGGTTTTACATGATTGTATGTTAGTGTCTCCTTCACCAAGATGTCTTTTCTTTTTTTGGTCAACAAAGATGCATACTTGATATATTAAGGGTCAATACAAGGAGCATTGTTTGGTATAGTGTTACAAAAAGGGTGGGGTTCACTGATACCAAATTGTACTTGAGTGCTAGAGTTAATATTACAAGAGTTGGACGACATGTTTAAACAAAAAGAGGGGCGGTCCAGCTTCATGGCAGCAGTTGTTATGCGCTTGTGAACTGTTCCCCGTTGGTCGTCTATGAACTCGTGCAATACAAAAGGAGGTGGTTCCAAAAATTCAGTAGTGGGGGCATGGTGAGGTAGGTTGTCCCATGCTTGGCCAGCAACTTCATTTTGCTTCCGCTAAATATGTGTCACCCAGGGACTATTCAGTAATGTAGGAGATAACTAAAATAACAAAGTTTTCAGGATTATTAGGGTAAGGAAGAAGAGAAACTAATTCTATAGGATTCTATTTTTTTTACTAACTCATTTCAAATTTCCACATTTAGATAAGACTTCTAGCATTTAATAAGAAATTTATAAACTGAAGATAACGTAAAAAATACTCTTCAGTTTCAATTTGTTTGGCATCATTAAACTAGGGACATAGCTTAGGAAATAAAGAATGATTTCATCACGTCATTTTTAATAGGAGTATATAAAAACTACCAAAAGTACCCTTATAATAAGGCCACACTAATCATGTCAATTACTAAAAGAGCACAATATCAAGTCAAATGTGACAAAAGTAGTTTAAATTCTTAAATTTTATCGTTACAACTAATCATATTCAATGGAAAAATTTGCTACTTTCCTGAAATAATAGTTGTTAAAGAACTAAAGAAGAAAAATGCTAGAATGAATAATAAGAGAGCAGAGATCAAAGTCTAGCACAAGCCAAAAAGTTTAGATGATTTTTTCTTATTTTTGTATTAGTGATGAATAGGTAAACGAACTTGTTAAAATGAAATCAAAATAAGGGAGGTAAATATAACACTATTATAAACTATATAAGGGAGGTTAATGTTACAAAATAAAACCTCAGGGAAGAATTCTGAAACTAAAGAAGATAGGGGGTTTATTCATTGAACGGGCCAAAAGAAATGAAGCAAAGTGTAAAAGGTCAGTACTTTAGGGTACAAACACAAAACACCCAATCTTTTTATTTGGTAGAGAAATAGGCAAGATTTGAGGGTTTCACAGCACTGGTCGAGAACAGAAGAGGAAAGAAGAAGAAAAATGCCGTGCCTTAACATTTCGACAAACGTGAATTTGGAGGGAGTTGATACTTCCTCTATTCTTTCTGAAGCTACCTCTTCTGTTGCCAAACTCATCGGCAAACCAGAGGCCGTATGTTCAGTTTACTCCTTTCCTATTTTCATCTAAATTCAATTACAAATGTTAAATTTTAGTACTATTTTACTTTAGATCACTTTTTTTTAGCCTTGAAATGCCTGCACAGTTACATATATACACTGATGTTAACTTATATGTGAGTATTTTATTGGGTGTCGTTCTGTGTGCTTAAGTTACTTGTACACTTTATGTCAAAGTTCCAAATAAAACACTAATATAAAATTACATAAAGAGTACTGTACAACAACATTGCCTCAATCCAAAGCTAGTTGGGGTCGACAATGTAACTCGTCTCAGTTCAGTATTTAAGGTTCTGTAGCACTAGAAATTCTGAGCCGAGGGTCTACCTAAAACAGCCTGTACCCCTTATCAGGTAGGGGTAAGATCGGCGTACCCACTTGCGGGATTACACTGAGTCTTTTGTTGTTGTTGTTGTTGTTGTTGTTGTAGCACTAGAAATTCTCTACATTTCCTATAGATGGACGAATAGACGGCCAATAGTGGACCTAAAGTAAATGTACAAACATAACTAAAATGTAACTCCCAATTAGTTGTTATTGCAACATGAATTTGTTTCCCATTGCAATAGAAAACCCTATGAACCTTATGGAGGTTACTATGTTTTGATATTTTTTTTTATTGGAGATTGATCAAAGTTTTACCTCAATGTACAACCTAGGCTTGTAGGTATGGAAAATACTGTTTTCCCCAAATTGAATGCTCATGGTTTGGCACAATGCGCGTTTGTTAGTTGCTTGAGATCGTTTACCAAATATTTGACTCCAGTTTCATGATTCTTACTCGGGCTAACTTGCCATTTTTTGTTCACTGCACATCTGTCTTACAGAATGAAAATCAAGGATCAGAAAGGGCAACCTTAACATCTTCAATAACTAAAATCATTTGCAATATGCTAAACAATCCTATCTAACTTCTATTATTTAGGATGGAAAGGAAAGAGTAGCTTGGAAACATGAGTAACATAGATTAGTTTGACTAATGCACTATATTTCTTGTTCATTCCTTTCCTCTCAGTTCTATCCTTCAAATCAATCAACCCTATTATGTATTTGACTGACAATGAACTTCAAGAGCGGAAGAGCCCCTAAAATTGAGAGGAGAAAAGTGTGTTGTTACCGAGAAAAATTGTTGGTAGATGCGAGGCCAAGAATAAGCATTGAAATGTTAGGTATTGAGCGAGGAGGGCAAAGGAGCTGTTTTGATGGTGTTTCTCAAAGCTAGTTTTACGAGAGAATCAGTCTCTGGCTTTTGATGAATTCTTAAATCTAACTAAGTAGAAAGTGATGACCTATTTGTATCAAATGCTTTCGTTGATGAATACTTAAGTAAGTAGCTTCACTCTATGGATTTTGCCTTGTACTATCTATACAGAAGCTCAATTGACATGTTTTAATGGCATTTTCTGTTTTGGATGGTTTCTCTGTAGTACATTAAGATTGCTTTCATTGTGCAGTATGTCATGATTGTGTTGAAGGGATCTGTTCCCATGTCTTTTGGGGGTACAGAACAACCAGCTGCCTATGGTGAGTTGGTCTCCATTGGGGGCTTAAATGCTGATGTTAACAAGAAGCTCAGTGCTGCAATTGCCGCCATACTTGAGACCAAACTGTCCATCCCCAAATCTCGATTTTTCCTGAAATTCTATGATACTAAGGTAATGTGCTTGGCTTCTTAATATTTCGAGTATGGGTAAATTCCCTGCATCGCTCTCATTGCATTCTTCCTTTTGTTTAGGCCCACCAAAGTCAAGAATATGCACAATGTCTGCATGCTTTACACCAGTGCTAGATCATGTAATTAAACTTTTCACTGTCTAAGAACACGAGGAGAAGTTTTATACTTTTCTGATTCCTTAAATATTTGTGAATATAATGTTCTACTTTAGGGGTTGTTGGTCATATAGTATGTTGTCCTTTTAAGTCTGACAAAACCGATGACTCCTGCTCTTTTTTGCAGGGTTCCTTCTTTGGCTGGAATGGATCTACCTTCTGAATTTCTATTTCACAATTGGTCATCTTTGAGCCACTTATGAACTGTATGTATGTGCTTGGATCTGTATTTGCCAAGTAACTTGATACTATATCTTTTCTTGTTACTACTTGGAATGATGAATGTCTGGTCCTTGTTGTGACCGATGGAATTATCCTGCTTCTAAGCCCTATATTTGATCTTGGAAACGTTGTCTTGAATAGAAGTTTCGAGCTATCAGCACTCTTATGCTGACATGATATCGTTAAAGGAATAAGTTGTTTCTTGGAAATATAGCAACTCATGTTGTCATCGCTGAGATTATTTTGTTCATCGTGTAAGATGCTCACATGTGTGCATGTTCTTGTTTCATCCGTATTTTCTCATTTCTCTGCCCTATTTTGTTGCATGCCTACCGAAAATTGCCTTTCTTATCCTCTTACGTTTGTCATGAAGGCTTCATAATTTGCTTTTTAAACTATGACTCAATCATTAGCAGATTTGTTTCACACATTTCACGAACTTGGTATTGTGCTATTTCTTGTTAGCTTCGTCTTTCAATCCTCTTAAGGGTGATATGACAGGCGCATTCATTTATCTCATGATGATTTATTAGCTCTAATTGTCGAAGTATCTTTTGTTGTTTGTTTTTTCTTTATATCTTTTGCAAAGAGATGTCAAATCAGACTTCGAAGTCTTAGGACGGTCTAAATCTTCTCAAAGTCCAATATGTTGATTACTTGGGTAATTTTCAACTAATTATAACTTTTTGCTGAGCAGGGAGATTATTCGATGTTACACATAATTTAAGCTCCCTTATTCCGTCTTTGCACAAATTATTTTAGTTGTATTTGACAATAGTGCTAAATCCTTTTGCTTTAGGAACGCTGAAGTTTGCAGCTTCACGTTTGTGCACTATGGTTAACGTTGTTTTGTGAAAGTGCGAAGTTTTACTAAACCATAAAGTAACAAGGAATACTACTACAACAACAACATACCCAGTATAATCCCACATAGTGAGGTCTGGGGAGGGTAGTGTGTACGCAGATCTTACCCCTACCTTGTGGAGGTAGAGAGGCGGTTTCTAATAGACCCTCGGTTCAGGCGAGCATAGGTACCATAATAATAGCAAGAAAACAAGACGGACAATACCGAAAAATCATGTAAAAGTAGCATACATAATAAGATAATAAGATAATCGAAATGAAAAAAAAAAAAAAAACTCATTAAGCCTACTACCAACCAAATGCGAGAGTACGTATTAACACTATCGGTATGAATAATCTAGACTACCTAACCTACTATCCTAATATTCGACCTCTACACTTTCCTATTACGGGTCGTGTCCTCGGTATGAATAATCTAGACTACCTAACCTACTATCCTAATCTTCGACCTTCATACTTTCCTATTACGGGTCATTGTCCTCGGTCACTGAAGGAAAAAGCTTTCATATACTGTATGTTTGCACAAAATTATATTCTTGTACTTGTCCTGTAATTGTTTCCGGGACCGAGGTAGTAGTAATATGTGCTTAATAAAATAAATCAAATCGATGTCCCGTATTAATCCAAAAATAACTAAAATCTTTCTGATGTTTATTATTAAAGCAAATGATTAAATCGTTTTTCTTCCACCCAGATTTTGTAATCAAAACAACTTACACTACGTCCACCTCTAAATTTCCTGTCAAAATTAAAAAATAAAGAAAAAGAAAAATCGTATGCTATATAAATGAGAAAACCGGTGAATAAGAAATTCAGAGATCAACTGAGAGATCCACCGACGAAAATTGGATCTCCTTTCTCTATCAGTCAACCTCTCTAACCGTACAAATCAAGCAAATCCCCAATTTCCCTATAAATCAATTCACCAAATAATCTTCTAATTTCTCTTTGCATTTCCAATTTCTTCTCAACAATGGCCGCAGCCGCTTCATCGCCAGCAGTTCTTCCAATTTCCAACCCTCAAACCACCACCAACACCCAACAAACCACCACCGGCGTGGGTCCCACACCTGCTCTCCGATCCTTCATCAACCGCATTTCCGAGACTATCCAAGGTGGTCTTTCCAATCGCCGTCCATGGTCTGAACTCGTTGATCGTTCGGCCTTCTCCAAACCCGAATCCGTTTCCGATGCTACCCTCCGTATCCGCAAAAACTATTCCTATTTCCGTACCAATTACCTTTCCCTCATTGCCGTTGTTCTCGCCTTTTCCCTAATCACAAACCCATTTTCCCTTTTTCTTCTCGCCGGTCTCCTTGCTGCTTGGCTTTTCCTCTACCTTTTCCGGCCGTCGGATCCGCCTTTGGTTTTATTCGGTCGGCAGTTTTCTGAACGTGAGACGCTTGGGGTTCTTATTGTTTCTACGGTTGTTGTGATCTTTCTAACCAGTGTTGGATCGGTCCTTGTTTCAGCTTTGATGATTGGTGTTGCTATTGTGTGTACCCATGCTGCTTTTAGGGCTCCGGAAGATCTTTTCCTTGACGAGCAAGAGTCTCCGGCCACTGGGTTCCTCTCATTCTTGTCCGGCGCTGCCGCTTCCTCCGCCGCTGGCCCAGCTGTTGCTGCTAGGGTTTGAGGTGCACGACGTCGTATTGGTGTCCAAAGAGATTGATAGCGGTTCTGTTGGGGTAATTTCGTGTTTGTTTTTTAAAGGTTTTGGAGTTTTAGTAGATAAAGGGAACGATCAATATGAGATGAGAATATATTACGAATAGGATTTTACTTTGATTGTTCTTAATGTTTTTGTTTAAAAAAAATTGGAAATGTATAATAGGGGGCAATCTGTTGGGGATTTTGTTTCTGTAATTTGTTATACGAAATGATGTTAAATCATTCAGATTAATTCATTTCTTATTGTTTGTTTAGAATACATTATTTTTATTTGTAGACATGCCTCGGTTGAGTAACCCGATCTGGAATTGGAGGTCGTAATGAGCATTTTGACATATAATAAAAAATTAAATACGTTTAAATTACGTACTCCCTCTGTGAAAATGGCACGAAGTTTAAGAAAAGAAAGAAGATTTTTGAACTTGTGGTGTAAAATGAGACATATATATTTTGTGAGATTATAAATCATTGCAAAAAGGTAAATTATTTTCAAATAGGGAAAGTGGTCATTCTTTTTGGCACGGACTAAAAAGGAAATAGGTTCACATAAATTGAAACGGAAGAAGTAATAGTTTAAAAAAATATTTAAAATTATGGTAAAAACAATTTGAGCTGTGAGCTTGGGTAATGGTTCATAGACCATTTCCATAAAAAGCCCTCTATGAGCGCTAAGTAGGGGTGTAGCTAGGTGAGCGGAAGGGATTCCAACACCTTTCATTGAAAATTACCCAGGTTATTTTTTTTTTATGTATATATATTAGGTGTTGAATTTTCTTAGCTTATTTGCGTATTTACTTTTTCAAATTTTTAAATCCTCTTGATAAAAAATCCTGCTTTCGCCACGGGCTCTAAGATCCTCACTTAAGAATAGCTATTGTAGGCTATTATAAGAAATGATAAACCCGATTAGTCTTCAATGTTTATCCTAGTATTTTTTGGTTCATCCTAGTTATTGTGTGTGCAAATGGTGAACCCTTCTAATCTTGGGCATGCCAAACAACATACACTTTCTATAGAAAGTGAATGCCAATTCCCCATTTACAAACTTGAATGTTTTACTTTCTTGAAGAAAATATGCTAGCCACATGCTAGATGTAAACTAAGTTTTTGACTATCAATTCTTGAATTTAATTTGGTGCTCTTAAAGTTTCTCCTAGACTCGAAATATTGGATGCATGTATACGTGTCTTCGTGAGACAAATTATGTAATCGGGAAAATTTACAAGATGTATGATTCCTCTTTGATCCCTTTGTTGGAGCTATTGTTCCTTTGGTGACTCGAACCCACAATCCTGAAATTGTAGGTGGGAAGTGCCGACCATCGCACTTCATATGAGTACTTAGGAAACTCTCCCAATCATCTTAAGAAACATTAGCTAAGAACTACAAACTTAGGCCATGTATTCTGTTGATATCTCGTATTTGTTCAATATTTCCCTTGGTAAGTGTCCCCTAGTTCTCAACCGAGTCTTCAAGATGAGTGGCCAGGATCAATATTGATCAGTCTGATTTATATATGGGCAAGACCTTTCCAGTTTCTGTATACTTAATAGTCAAGCACATAAAAAACTTTTTCTTTTTTTCTGAGGTTAGGTTGAAACATAGATATCAGAAGCATTTGGATACAGTGGTGCGAATACTATAAACGTTGAAACTGTTGGCTTTGCCATTAAGAATTGCTCGTTCATAAGTTATAATTTGACTTGTAAAGATCAACTCTATCTGTCCTGCTTTTTCAACTCCAAAATGTCTGAACAAGTAATAATTCGACATAAAAATGGAGTAAATACGTAATCGCTGCTGCAAATCTTTGTATAAGCGGTGTCGGCCTGTCATTACCATTTACCGATAGCTAATGTTTTCTTCCAATTATATATTTTCCAATTTTTTAGAAAAATATTACTCTATTTATATAGGAGTATATGTTATTGTGAATTTTCAACCAAATGAAGTGAAGCGTCTGTGCCGATGGATGAGATAATTTTATCCATGGTCATTGAGTTTTTGTGTTTGTTACCCAAAAGTTACTTTTTTTTTTGTTGCGTAAAAATCATTCTACTTTGTGTTCATCACACAAAAGTCACTTTTCTTTCTTTTGTTACACAAAAATCATTTTACTTTGCTCTAGTTATCACAAAAGTCACATTTTTACTTGAAAAGTCTATTTTGCCCTTGATATTATATAAACTTTCCGATTTATGTAATACCTTCTATATTATATACTATGCAATATATTTTTAACTATGTATTTCATTTATAATAAAATAACTTAATATTATTTTATTTATTATTTTTATAATATATTCGTATATTTTAATTTTTTTCATAACTTTAATTTTCAAGATATAATAGTAGCGTTATAAAATAATTTTTTTCAGCAATTCTTTTTTCTGAATTTAATTGACCGACCAAAGTTGGTCGGTAATTTCCGACCAACTTTGGTCGGTATGCCCTTCCGACCTTCAAAATACCGACCGCACGTTAATGGTCGTGTTTTGGACGGTTATTGGCCATTACCGAACAACTTTAATCGATTTTTTTGGACAGTTTTTTCCAAATTCTAGCAGTGTAATTTCCCAAATAATCAATTGCCAAGTAAATCCCCAAGAAAATATCCCCAGCTAAATTATTTTCCTTCAGATTAACATATGATTTTTGCCTCATTTTCTTTGTTTGTTTACCTACAAATTTTCTCACGAAAATGACTTGCCGATTTATTTCTCTACTAATATATATTAAAGTTACTGACAAATTTAATAACTCTACTAATATATTTTGAAAATTAACGTTAAGAAAAAATTAATATACGAATATATTATAAAAATAATAAATAAAATAATATTAAGTTATTTTATTTATAAATAAAATACATAGTTAAAAATATATTATATCGTATTTAATATAGAAGGTATTACATAAATATGAAGATTTATATAATATCAAGGGGATAATAGACTTTTCAAGTAAAAATGTGACTTTTGTGATAACTAGAGTAAAGTAAAATAATTTTTATGTACAAAAGAAAAGTGACTTTTGGATAACAATCACAAAAGTTCAATGACCATGGATAAACTTAACTCGCGGGATGGATGTAATATTGATCAGTTACCTTATTATATTACTCTTCCGCCTTTCTTTCTTTGCGCGCAAGAAACAAATAGCCGCAATTTAATTTGTGTTCGTAGTAGAAAATGAAAGATCTCTAATCTGGAAAGAGACAGGAAAAGACAAATTCCGTGGTCGCCAAGTAAAGATAAGGACAGCCAAATCATAAACAAAAACTGTTTTAAGTTTCCTATGTGCCCCAAATTCGCCCACATTCCTTACTAGTAGTTAAATTAAATACTTAATCCCCAAGGAATAATTAATACAATAAATACAATTGATATTAGTATTAATCCAAAAACTAATTATATTTTTTTTCCACCAATTTTTAATTAATTCAACTTTACCTAATCAACGTCAACCTATAAATTTCCTGTCAAATTAACCAAAAAAATACTTAATCCCCAAGGAAAAAAAGTAATATGGTTTATCATTTATTTCTCTTCCTAAATATAGTTAAGATACAATCAGCACACGGTAATACTAAATTACTAAGTACCAAAATAACACGCTATTTATTTATTTGTTTTCCCAAAAATAAATGAAACCCAATTTGACAAGGAATAAAAGGATTTGATAAAGTAAAACTGAACTATATAAATACACCCAAATAAGGAGAAGAACATTCTTGAAACGACAAATATTCCATTGGCAAAGCAAATAACAAGACTTCAAATCAGATATATAAATTAATACCTTTGACGTACATGTCTTCTCACATTCTTCAAAGGTGATTTTCTTCTCTTTCATCTAATTTTAAAAAAAAATAGTAAAACAACTGCCAACTTTATAGTATTCTGCATACAATTCTTGTATTCAATTAATAGCCTTTTTCTAACATAATAATGGCTTTTTGTGCAAACAGGAAACAGAAAAGAAGGCGCAATGGATGTGATTCTCTAGAGGAAATTTTATTAAAGTGGAAAAATCATTATCAGGAGCTTAATTCTAGCATTGAAGATGTACAAGTAAAGAAAAAGAGAAAAATTCCAGTTAAGAGATCAAGAAAAGGTTGTATGCGAGGTAAAGGCGGTCCTGAGAATTCAGGTTGTATATATAGAGGAGTTAGACAAAGGATATGGGGAAAGTGGGTAGCTGAAATTAGAGAACCTGTATATATTAGTGGTCAGTATAAAACTAGCGGTAAACGTCTTTGGCTCGGTACTTTTTCCACATCTGTTGATGCTGCTCTTGCTTATGATGAAGCTGCTAAGGTTATGTATGGTTCTAATGCCATACTTAACTTCCCGAATTATTGTGTACAAAATGACTCGTCGAGTACTTTTACCATTGCCCGAACATCTTCACCTGAATCGACTGATGAATCATCCGTTGATCATGAGGATTCAGGTGCTGAAGATGCCAAGGTTAGAGTTGATCAGTCCACTTTTGCAACATCAGTAGTTACAGCAGATGAAAAGCAACATTCTTCTTGTTGTTGTTTGACTGAGAAATCAGATGTAATGCCAGAGGAGGATTATGAGAACGAGTTAAACGATTCAGGATGCAGTTCTAGAACTGATTGTCAGCCTCCGAATTGTTGTGTTAAAGTTGAGACACCTATAAAGGAAGAAATCGAGAAGGATGAGTTTGTACGTGATAAGGATTTGGAACGCCTGAACTCGTATGAAGTCTCAAATAGTTTGCACATTATGGACAAAGAGACTACAGATGTGAAGCCACAAGATCTGAATATATTGCAAGAACAACCATTGGATTTCAGGTCTACTGAAAACCCGAGTGAAGATTTTTGTAGGCGTTTAGAATACATGGAGCATTGGCTAATGGAAGACGATTGTTCAATCGAAGCAACAAAAGTATCAGACACATATTGTTTGACAGAGAATCGTGATGAAGATTTTCAGAAGTTTTTAGAGGAATCGTTTGATTTCAAGCCAATGATTGTGTCTGCTGAGCTAAACTATGTGAAGAATGAGGAGCAATTTGATTGTACATACAACCAGCAAATTGACCAGCAGACAGATGGAATTATTAGCAACCAAGCTGATTGGAATTCTTTGATTAGTTCGCAACAGGAGGATAATATCAAAGATTTGTCTATCTTTAACTTTGATTTTGATATATAATCCTTTCTTGATGATGTTCATTAATTATTAGAAATTGCTTATCATCGATGTAATTTGTTTTATATAGTCTGGTACACTAGAGATTAGAAAGTTTATAGGTTATTTTGTAAGCAGAAAGTCAGCCTTGTATTCGCCACATATATAGTCTATCGTTCTTCATAGAATTCAAAACGGAAAAAAGGAGGTTTTGATGTTCTAATCCTCTATTCTAAACCTCTTACTGTTTGTTTTTGATAACCTTGTTGTTGAACTGCCAAAAAGAAAGGACGTCTTGCTGGTTTTCTGCTCATCATTCTTGTTATAGGCGGGAGCCTATTTTTTGTGTGCATATTCTTGTTTGGCAGAGGCCAAACAAGTACACATATTATCGAGATATGCAATTGGTCATCAAAGGAAAGAGACGCAGGGGTTGGGTGAAGTACAGAGCATATGTGTGTCATCCAGGCTTATGGGTTACTATCGTAATTTTAGATTAATATGTAATAATAACTGGGTTCATAGTTAGATATTTACAAATATTTAGTGAATTTCTTAATATACAATATTTGTAAACAAGTGCAGAAGCTAGTATATTACTTTGAGACAAATTGAACAACACATAACAATGACTCTAAGAAGTGGTAATAACGCACAGATGATCAAGATGGCTCATATACTAGAGCATTAGACCACCTCTTCCTGACTCGGAAAGATGGAAACTGTCATCTATCAACATTGAGTAATCCTTTGACTTGCCTTGGCATTATCTTGAAGTAGTTATAAATGTGAGTTTCCTCGGGCTGGTGGCTTAAATCTAAGTTGCTTCGACATGGCAGTTTGGGTGCCGCACCGATGTTGTTATGGGATTTGTATCAGATCTGGTCACGATACGATTCAATTTAATTCCCGAAATCAGAACCAAAACTAGCGTAAATTTGAAAAAAAATAGCATACGTTTATCTAGCAAATCAATCCTTTACTTATCTACAACTTAAAAATAAAAAGAAAAATCTACACTTTACAAGCTATATGTAAGTATTCTACAAAATTTCTCATAATTTAGATATATCTTTATATTTTTATATTTTTGAATTATTTTTAGCCAGATCCCCGAACCCGAATCGGTATCCCCCAATCTTAGAATTTACATCTCGAATGATCCGACATCTAGATCTGCATTTGTGCCGGATACTCGCACCCGTTAGGTTTAAAGAGGCCATTCTGTCCGCAACCTGATTAGCCTCACGTAAACAATGTCTAGTGAAAAAACAATGTCTATTAAACTGATAGAGGCGGCCCGCTGCTTAACCCCTAAGCCTTGAAAGCAGTTGCTCAAAAATTTGAGTACTTTGCATTTTGAGAAACAATAACAATAAAATTCAAATAAATTATATAAAGATTCTAATACTATTCCTATTAAACAAAGACTCTTTTTAACTTCCGCTTTAGGCCACATATTTTATTGAGCCGCCTTTGACTACTAACTAACTATATTGGTGGTATATAAAAGCTATACATTGTATGCGTATATCATTGAAAGAACAGTCACATGTACCAATAGAGAGCATGAAGAAAGAAGCCATGAAACTCAGGATGGATAGCGCAACGGATCGCAGTTTTAAGCTCATGAAGATAGTCTCTCCATGGTGCTATCCCTCCTGAGCTTCACAGATTTCCCATGCAATTTCCACATAACCGCCATAGTTTTTTCAATATATAATGAGTGAAAGAAAAATGAAAAGAAAAAGGCAGAAGTAAGGACTAAAGATATACTAATGGATGGCTGGGTAGTGTTGAAGAAGGAGGTCTATTTATAGTAGCTAAAGTAACATGGGAATTTGACTAAGTTTTTACACAACGTGTGTACGAAATTAAGCATTTGTCTCTATATTGGTGCTTTGACTGATTGTCGATTTTTCTTTTGTTCATTATTGTAATATTTATTTGGAAAATCAATACTTAAATAGTTAAGTGCTCTGCCGACTACGTTACTCAAACTACCTTCCAATTTTGAAATAGGTCGCGAGGTACGGTCTAAATTGAAAATTGCGAATTTTTTCTTGCTTTACAAATGGCTGTATAGAATTTCGATATTACAACTTCGTCTTACTTGACAAATTTTCCAAAATTTACGTCGTCATTGACACACGAATAGCGAAATTTCTTGAGTTTTTTAGCCAAAAATATCCGTAACTATACCCAAACTTGAATTACATCCTTAGAGTTATTCTTGTGAAAAAAAATATCCTTAAAATATTCAAAAATTAGCAAGTTACGTCCTACTATTAGAATTGATGGTGCCAAAATGGATAAAGAAAACAATTATATATCGTGAAACATTGTGTTTGGATGATCATATAGGAATTGAGTCATTCGAGCCTTTGGAGGAGCCAACGAACAAGGTGCTTACATTCTGGAATTTATTGTGCCAGAGAGAATGAATTACATACCTCTGAAGGCCAAGAAGTGTAAAATGCGAAATTAGTTACTTGGCCTAATTACATTTATCCCACCACCTCGCGAGCATAACAAAAAGCTTGAAGCTAAATTGGGGGCTCAATTCATAATTTCGAGGTGGAGGCAAAAAGTGGTTCAATTCGTGCCGCGATGTTAAACCAGGCGCTTGTTGGGAGACAACCAAACTTTACTGCTTTCTTTTATTTTTATTATATTATTTTTATAGTGTCTGTTTTTATTTTGTAGAATTATAAGCATAAAGCAAAACCATTGGAAGAGTGCAAAAGCGAGCTAGATGGTGAGAACTAAGTGTGGGGTGCCCGCACAAAGGACCATGCCTGGGGAAGTCTGAGTACCTCGTGAGCCGTGATTGCTTCGACCTTTAGCCTTTCAGGGAGTTTCTTGTCCACCCTCTTAATTGTTTTGCTTTATTTGCGCATTGCGGACACTGCACTCTTTTAAGTGTGGAGTGGGAGAATTCCTCTAGATATTTACTAGCGGTATGTTAGAAAAATATTAACTTCTTCTTTTGATTTTAGCTTCTTATTTTTGTTCTCGTAGTGTAATATTTTAGTAGCTTAATTATTTTTCTTAAACGTGAAAAATAAGAAGAAAAAAAAAGTAGAAAAATTGAATTTTTCCCGACGATGAAACTCCTAGACAGTTTTCTTGAGGGATTAAAGTCTAACAAAAAAAACATGTCTTTTAGTTTTCTGTAGATAGTAATAAACCCCTGTTGGTTTTCTTTGTGCCTCGGTTCTTTTTCATGGGATGTAGTTTGAACCGGGTCGTAGCTTTTTAATTTTGAGTAAGGTAGTAGTTTTTTGTATTTTTTGTAGAAAGGACTTATGAATAAATGGAGGAAGAAAGATGAGATTCCTAGGCGTCCAATGACTTGTTTGATAGTAGCATATTTAGGGCTTGGCAGGTGTAGTATCTTCCCTATATTTTGAAATTGATCATGATGTCTTTATAAATTGGATTGCATGTCTCCTGACGCTTATGTCTCGTATTCTTGACTTATTTCACTTTGTGCTTAATGCTTAATATCTTGTGGCTCTGTGAATACTTGCATTAGTTTGAGAGTCGGAATGAGACCGTCTTTAGTGAGTCATGTGCCATGTGTGAAGTGAGATTTTTGTGTAGTCCATGTCCTTGTACTTGTGTCTAGAACTTGCTTGGTATGTGAGTCGAAGATAAATTTTAGGTGAGACACGGTTTGAAAAATGATTTTAGGCTGTTATTGTTCTTTTTGAGGTTAATGCTGATCACAAATAAAATCTATCCCTAGTTAACCATTTTGATCCTATAGACTTTTATTTGGCACCCACCTTACAAGCCTATATCCTTTTTTGTTCTTAATTGACATTGTTTTGATCTTTTTACCTCTTAAAGCACTTTAATTGTGAAATGAGCGCTAACAGAAGTAAGGAGGAAATTTGGTGGCTTTCGAGTGGAACCAATGAAAGGAAGAAATTTGCACTTGTTTGTAAAAGAATACACCACTAGGGAAAATTATAAAAAAAAAAACTGAAAAAAAAGAGAAGAAAAAATATAGATGAATAAATTGACATCTTGTTCTTGCTAGTGAGTATGAATTCAAGTAGTGCTTAAAGAAAGAGAGAACGTTGTTAGGATGATTTTAGTTGTGATTGAAGAATATGCGCTTAAAGTTAATTATGTGAGATGTTAAAGTGCTTAGGAGGGTTAGCCACTATTCCTAAGTATATCCTATCCGTCACTTAGCCCACATTATAACCATGAAAAAGTCACAGTTGATTTTAGATTGAGCGACCTACATTAGTAGAGATTTACATTAAGGGCAAGCCTATGGTGACAATTGCATGCATGTGACTTCTTTTGTGAGAGTGAGCGATTTTCTTTGATATATACGAGTCCTTAAATATATTTGAGCATTTGATTTGAATGTGTGAATTCAACTTACTCTTTTGTTCTTGTTGTGAGGGCACATGGTTTCATAAGGGATAGATAACGTTATTAGACTTATCTAGGATGTTGGGTGTTCAAGTTATGAGTGCATTGTGACACTGAGTCGGTTTTATAGGCTAGGATTGTTATAAGCATGTCGTCTTTGTTGTAAATATTTTTGAAGAATGACATAAGTTAAGGGAGGTGTAAGTGATTGCATATTCTACAGTTTAATTGTTGCTATCAACCGTGGTCATTGGTGTAGTGTGCTTCAAATGCGTAAATATAAAGTGCTCATGAATAGTGTTTATTGTTGGTTGCTCGAGGACGAGCAAGAACTTAAGTGTGGGGTTGTAACGATCCGACTTGTCGTTTTAAGAATTTACGCCCCATTCAGCGACTTAAGGTCTCTAGCAACTTTGTAATATATATTATGACTTGCTTGTGTGGTCGAGTTTGATTTTTGGAAGATTCAGAATTGAATTGAAAGAACCATTCTCATTTTTGAAACTTAAATAAAAAGAATTGACCGAAGTTTGACTTTTAAGCAAACGACTCTGGAATGGAATTTTGATGATTCCAATAGCTTCGTATGATGATTTCAGAGTTAGGCATATGCCCGAAATTTGATTTGG